GGGTTGTATTCTCAATACTGTTCCTTCGTGGAAGAAGACATACAAAATCCGAGTTGCGGTGTTTGTGGAGTACGAGACCGATGTGGAAGATGAAAGAGGGCGGGTTGAGGCTCTCCTCGACAAACTACGGATTGAGGCCGAAGTCTTAGTTTTCTGGCTTGCATGTGGTGATATCCAGACCTATCAAACTATCGTGAATGGTGACGTCTCGGTTACAGCTGCTACCCGAGAAAGGGTTGATTCCACTCTACAGGGGGAGGACTGGTGGCAAGGCGTCTTACGAGCTCGTGCCCTAAATCAAGAACCGGATTCGGATAGAACAAGTGACAGTCTTCATCTTGATAAGGCATATACTTGGCAAGGACCGTCGAGCCAAGACAATGGAGCCAAACCCCTGCACAACAGAGTGACTGGCTTGAGGAAACTGATACAGTCCACTCGTCGCAGACGATCTGTCTCCAGCTTCCGGGCTTTAGGAGGAGTGAACCTCGGTATGCAAACGCATCGCCTGCTAGATGCGTTCGTCGATTACGACAGCTCCGATAGTGCGAATGAGAGCGAAGACAGTGACCTGGAGGCGTATGTCAGCGATCCAGAACCAGAGGACGGTGGTGAAGACATAGTCAATGCTCGAAACGAGGCTATACCCGTTTCCAGCACTTCAAGGCTCCTTGGACGCTCCAAGACCGATGACTGCAGCCCTACCGCAGACTCCCCGAGCACACCAGTGCGCGCGAGCTCTCAAATAGAGGAAATACCATCCTCTCAGCTAATCCCATCCATAATTGAGACTGGCGACGATGCCTCCCCGAAAAGCAAATCTCTAGGTCTACGCCCCCCCATGAGCCGTTCTGCATCTAGCAATCGGTTCAGCTCCGCGCCCATCCCCGAAGCCAAAGTGATCACCGAAGCCGAGGAGGGTAATGGACCATCTATCATGTTTGCGACGCAAAACTCACCTCCTCGAGTTGCAAACAAGCTAGATTCTATTTACGCTCGTCGTCCATCTGCCGTGTCTCCCACATCACCCGGTGCCCACAGCAATACACATGCAACAGGATATCCTGGTGTAGCGTCGGTTGCATTGTCTTTCAATGATCTCCCTAGTCGAGCACAGCATCTGATTCTGAATGAGTTGATGGTCCAGCAGAGTGGGGATACTGCTGTTATATTCACAACTCTGCCGTCTCCTGTGGAGGGAACTTCACTTAGCGCGGAAGACAGCGCGTCTTATCTGAGCGACCTAGACGTCCTGTGGAACGGCTTACCCCCGTGTCTGCTGGTGCACAGTAACAGCATGACTGTGACGATGAACTTGTGATGAATTGATGACTGCGAATTATACAACACAGGACATAGAACATGCTAGATTTTTTTTTAGATCAGTGGAAGTATGTATTTGATAGCAATGTTACTCATGGACATATTCTAACTAGGTATACCTAGGTAGCTATTATTTTTTGACTACAACATACGTTACCTGTAGATAGGTTAAATAGTGTAAATCCTATACACAAAGGCATAGAGACGATCATCCGGGCGCTACTGCACGCCACAAAAATCTCTGCACTTGCTAGGATTATCATTGTATGATAGATAAAGAAAAGACCCGAATTGTATAAAGATATAAGGAAATATAAGGAAATGATATAGGAGAGAAGTATAACATACGACCTTCTGACCTTAATAAGGAATAATGACCAATTGGTATTGTTGTGGCTGTGATTGGGTGATTCACCCTCTCGTTCCCTGGTATACCCAGTAGTCTCGAGCACTTCTCCCCAACTTTCTACCTTACTCCACGTCTCTTGGCTATCGCTTTGGCAATTTGGCTCTTTGGCTATTATATTCATTCTTTACCTTCTTACTTTCTTCAATTCCTTGAATTATTGTCTATTTGTATCTGTTTAATTCCTAATTCAACCTTCACCCCCTTTGCCCCTCGAATTCCAAGCCTGTCATGACCGAGAATGCCACCCGCCCATTGAACGGTATGGGTACAAATCCCGTTTCACGTCGTACAGTCGACTTTCATCCTGAAAGCACGGTCAAAGTCCTCCCTATTCACCCCAAGGGTGTGAACGGACACTGTGTCCTGGACGATTCCGACAGCGCCTCCGTCTCCTCCGCCTCAGAAACACACGAAACGATTGCCAGGGAACCCAAGCGGCCGATAATGACCCGCAAGGCCTCTTCGCCCATGGCGCCCACCTTTATGGTATCCGCGCCGGGCAAGGTTATCGTGTTTGGCGAGCATGCTGTGGTTCACGGCAAGGCTGCCATGGCTGCGGCCATCTCTCTTCGCTCCTACCTTCTCGTCACCACCCTCTCTAAATCACAGCGTACGATAACGTTGAACTTCCGGGATTTGGGTCTTAGTCACACTTGGGATATTGACACCCTACCCTGGGACAAGTTCCACGAGCCTTCAAAAAAGAAGTTTTACTACAGCCTTGTCACCGAACTCGACCCCGAACTTGTCGATGCAATCGAACCACACCTCCAGGGCGTCTCCAAGGGCCTCCCAGAGGAGCAGCGCAACATCCACATCCGCTCCGCATCCTCCTTCCTCTACCTCTTCCTCTCTCTAGGCTCTCCGCAAAGCCCAGGCGCTATCTACACCCTTCGATCTACCATCCCCACCGGAGCTGGCCTAGGTAGTAGTGCTAGTGTCTGCGTCTGTATTAGTTCTGCGCTACTTCTTCAAATTCGTACACTCGCCGGGCCCCACCCCGATCAGCCGCCGGAGGAGGCAGAGACACAGATTGAGCGTATCAACCGCTGGGCATTCGTTGGAGAGCTATGTATCCATGGTAATCCTAGCGGCGTGGATAACACAGTGGCCGCAGGCGGCAAGGCTGTGATTTTCCGTCGCGACGATTACTCGAAGCCTCCAACAGTCGTCTCGGTGCCCACCTTCCCCGAACTTCCCCTCCTACTTGTCAACACTCAACAAGCGCGTTCCACAAAGACAGAAGTTGATAAAGTCGGGGCTCTAAGAAATGCCCATCCCATCGTGACGGAGTCCATACTTAACGGTATCGATCATGTGACATGCTCTGCACAACGTTTGATCGAGGACCCTAGTTTCGAGGGCATCTCTGAGGCTACCCTCGCCCACTTTGGAACCTTAATCCGTATCAACCACGGCTTCCTTGTCTCCCTAGGCGTCTCTCACCCCCGCCTCGAACGCATTCGTGAACTTGTCGATTACGCCGACATCGGTTGGACAAAGCTGACCGGTGCAGGCGGTGGCGGATGTGCGATTACCCTCCTCCGGCCTAACGCGAAGGCCGAAATCAAGCAGGACCTCGAACAGAAGTTCGATGAGGAGGGTTTCACCACGTACGAGGTTACCCTCGGCGGTGACGGTGTTGGTGTTCTCTACCCAGCCGTCCTGCGTAATGGCTCGGACGAAGAGGGCGGTGAGGAGATCGATCAACAGAAGTTCGAAAATGCCGAGGGCCCTGAAGGCATTGAGCGTCTTGTTGGTGTCGGGGTCGAGGAGAAGAGAGAGGGCTGGAAGTTCTGGAAGCGAGCTACCAACTAAGCCGCTTGTCTTGGCCTTGCAACGCAGTGTGATACAAATCCAGGCTTCTTTCTTTTCTTCCTACCCTGGATCACCACCTTCTGCGGCCCAATTTGGGGATGTCATTCAGGTCAAGACTTTTGTTTTGTCTTGGTTTTGATTTGACCTTCTTTTTACCTATTCATCTCCCATTCTTTGTACACATTATCATTATCCACTATATGCATTATACACCCACTTTTCTTTTTCGTTTTCATTCTCGGTGTCAGTCCTGATGGTCTACCTTGTTGAGTTTTGCCGTGGACTTCACGAATGCATTTACGTTCGTCTCCATCCCGGTTCGGATTTCGGTTCTGATTGTGTTTGTTGCCCTTTCCCTTGCTTCTCGATTTCTACAACTTCCGTTCCGGGCTTTCTCTTTGCATGAATTAAATTGACGACATGACTGTGGAAGGACTGCCCCCCTAGATCGGTTCGGGTTCTCAAATACATCGATCACATAATGCTATTGCTCTACTCGGTAGAACTTGCTTCTGCTTTCCCCTACAAAGACAAGTAGAGATCCCAACTCCACCGAAGTGATAGATGCAGCCACAGATGCAACCAGCCAATAGGAGATCCTTCACTCCCACAGAGGGCAGTAGGGTGACTGGGAATAGCCTCAATTTGATGGAGAGCTAAGCTTTGTTTGGTGCATGCAGTTTTGGGATGACTTACGAGGAGAGTTGTATTCTAGGGGGGAAAAAAGCAAAAAACTAAAGGGAAATGAAAGCCCCAGGCGCGGATCGAACGCGCTACCTTGCGATGAATGCTAATATTGCAATCGCACGCTCTACCAAATGAGCTACTGGTGCTCTTGCTGACGGAAAATTTCCCAAGTTGGCATGTTGTGGTAAGCAGATTTACTCGCAATGCGGGTTGTGGAGATCATTGACTTGGATTGGCTGGACCATATAAATTTAGGGGCCCTAACCTTGCAACATAAAACAAACATAAAACATTGCATAGCGACCTAGGTATAGATGATGAAAGATCTTGTTCACTTTTAATTCCCAGGTAGATGAGTACATGGGCTACACTAGTTACTCAACATAGTGGTACAGTCATTAGCGAAATCTGCTTCATACACTGCCGAAAGTTTTAATGAGAGCCGCACTGCCAAGATAGTAGATAAATTTACTCCACGTCATTTATAACTAAATGACCTTTAATTTTGGAACAATACTAAACACGTTATGACGATGTACGAACAGACACCCAGACGTCCTACAAGATTCCATCGAGTCAAGTCGAAATAGATGGCTGCTTCGGCCAAAAAAAAAGGTGCATGATACGTCCCAGAATCCCGCGGAGAGTAAATCAGCATCTCTAGCTGTGCTACTCCAATTTGGCATCATGGTGATAAGCCATGTGTATATAATAAGAAACACTAAAAACTAGGTGGGGGGCCTTTCTTGATTCGTTGCATGGCTTATTTTGGCTTATACATACCGGAGAGCTTGGCTCCCAGTTTCTTCCATTTTACCCTCCGGTTGGTTTTCATTTGAACAGGCTCTTCTCTTTCAACAACCTCGAGTGTGTCACGCTCGAAAGAAGATAATTTGGTGGAAAGCCGAAAATACCGTTCGCCATACTGACCCCAAACAGCCTCAGTGCCCACCAGTGCCCGTTGATAATACAGCAGAGCAGTATCAATCTGCCCGTTCCTCTCGCATAGAAGGCCAAAGTTCTCCAGAGTGCTCAAGGCAGGGATATAGGTAAAAGTTGAGGTCGCCCCAAAAGCGGCCTCGTAGCCTTCAAGCGCTCGTTCGTACATCGCCTCAGCCTCCTGCAGTCGCCCTTGATCTGCGTAGAGGTTGCCGAGGTTGTTGACGGTATCCAGCGTCGACATATGTTCTTGTCCCCACGCCTTCTCGTAGCCTTCAAGCGCTCGTTCGTACATCGCCTCAGCCTCCTGGAGCCGCCCTTGATTCTTATAGAGGTTGCCGAGGTTGTTGACGGTATCCAGCGTCGACGTATGTTCTTGTCCCCACGCCTTCTCGTAGCCTTCTAGCGCTCGTTCGTACATTGTCTCTGCTTCTTGGAGCCGCCCTTGATCTACGTAGAGAAGACCGAGGTTGTTGACGGTAGCTAGCGTCGACGTATGTTCTCGTCCCCACGCCTTCTCGTAGCCTTCTAGCGCTCGTTCGTACATTGTCTCTGCTTCTTGGAGCCGCCCTTGATCTACGTAGAGAAGACCGAGGTTGTTGACGGTAGCTAGCGTCGACGTATGTTCTCGTCCCCACGCCTTCTCGTAGCCTTCTAGCGCTCGTTCGTACATTGTCTCTGCTTCTTGGAGCCGCCCTTGATCTACGTAGAGAAGACCGAGGTTGTTGACGGTAGCTAGCGTCGACGTATGTTCTCGTCCCCACGCCTTCTCGTAGCCTTCAAGCGCTCGTTCGTACATCGCCTCAGCCTCCTGCAGTCGCCCTTGATCTGCGTAGAGGTTGCCGAGGTTGTTGACGGTATCCAGCGTCGACGTATGTTCTTGTCCCCACGCCTTCTCGTAGCCTTCAAGCGCTCGTTCGTACATCGCCTCAGCCTCCTGGAGCCGCCCTTGATTCTTATAGAGGTTGCCGAGGTTGTTGACGGTATCCAGCGTCGACGTATGTTCTCGTCCCCACGCCTTCTCCTTACCTTCTAGCGCTCGTTCGTACATTGTCTCTGCTTCTTGGAGCCGCCCTTGATCTACGTAGAGAAGACCGAGGTTGTTGACGGTAGCTAGCGTCGACGTATGTTCTCGTCCCCACGCCTTCTCGTAGCCTTCTAGCGCTCGTTCGTACATTGTCTCTGCTTCTTGGAGCCGCCCTTGATTCTTATAGAGGTTGCCGAGGTTGTTGACGGTATCCAGCGTCGACGTGTGTTCTCGTCCCCACGCCGTCTCGTAGCCTTCAAGCGCTCGTTCGTACATCGCCTCAGCCTCCTGGAGCCGCCCTTGATCTACGTAGAGAAGACCGAGGTTGTTGACGGTATCCAGCGTCGACGTGTGTTCTTGTCCCCACGCCTTCTCGTAGCCTTCTAGCGCTCGTTCGTACATCGCCTCAGCCTCCTGCAGTCGCCCTTGATCTGCGTAGAGGTTGCCGAGGTTGTTGACGGTAGCTAGCGTCGACGTATGTTCTCGTCCCCACGCCTTCTCGTAGCCTTCGAGCGCTCGTTCGTACATTGTCTCTGCTTCTTGGAGCCGCCCTTGATCTACGTAGAGAAGACCGAGGTTGTTGACGGTAGCTAGCGTCGACGTATGTTCTCGTCCCCACGCCTTCTCGTAGCCTTCAAGCGCTCGTTCGTACATCGCCTCAGCCTCCTGGAGCCGCCCTTGATGTGCGTAGAGAAAACCCAAAGAATGCAGAGCCCCCGCAGCCTCACCATTAATTTCTATATATTTTATTGTCTCCAAACATCTGTCTGCATGTGCAATAAGCCGCCGTTGTAAAAGCCAGAATTCCTGTTCGTCATTCCCAGGCACACGCGCCGCTACACATTTGACTGATATCCAGGCCATACTATTTTCAAGCCCCTGATTCAGCACATAAATCATCCACGAATGAACGCAGCCATGTACGCTATAGCCTCGTGATTCCACTCTCTGTAATATGGTAGCCGGATCAGCTTCAACGAGCCCGTGACTGCACAAAAGTCGTAAGCTTGCGTGAAATATGAGCTTGTTCTTTGTCAGTGCGCTCAGCCATTCCGGCTTTTCCGGGCCACTATTCTCCAGCAGCTCATACCACAAGTCTTCACTAGCAAAATACGCCCATTGTCGGAGAAGCATAGCTGCAATTGGGCTCTGCTCCTGAATATATCGATATGAGAGATTCCATGTTGAGTACAGCGTTTGATCGTATGCCGCCAGCTGCGGCGTCTCTTCGTGTAATTGCTGCCATGATTCTCGGTACAGCTGGAGATACTCGGTGCAGCTAATCGAAACTTGCTCTAGGTATGCGCCAGCTGTCGCGAGAGCCAGAGGAAGTCCATCAAGCTGCCTCGCAAGATCAGTAGCTGTAGGGTCTGCTTCCTATTAGTACATGATATTGGATCATATCGTCCTTGCTCACCTTGTCTTAAATTTTCACGGCCAGAGACGGAAGCCAGGACCTCAAGGCTATCATTGATATCCTCTAGCTTGCGTAAATGAATAGTCTGGCCTAGCTTTATCATAGAGGACCGCGTGGTCACAATGATGGCACCATGGTCGGTCTCGGGTAGGAATTTCCGAAGATCATAAGCCTTTGCAAGATCTTTATCGTCATCGCTATATGTACTTGCCTCGACAGAGGAAGTATAGATTATGCCTTTCCCTGCCTGGTTGCCCAATAGGGGATTATCATAGTTATCATAGACGATCAACCAGCGATCATTCATCCGGTCGTCCAACCATCGTTTGACCGCTTTTACCGTCTCGTCCAAGTCTCGGCTCTCCAAAGCACCTGCAATGTATGTGAGAGACGGGTGGTGGCGTAGAATCCACTCAGCTGTGCGAGCAAAGCTTTGCTTTAATGTTGTTTCATCTCTCGCATTCAGCCATATTGTCGCCGAGTAATGAGACCGATTTCGTTTAATATATGCGATAGCTAGCTGCGTCTTGCCAATACCACCCAATCCATGCACCACGGCAGTACGGCGTCCAATAGTTGTGTCGAAGATCTCTTTCATTCTCTTAAGCTTATCTTCTCGTGCAACGAACCGGGTCACTTCGGATATCTCGGACAGGTTAAGTGGAAGCTCGAAAGTTATTTGTCTCGAATTCGAATTTCTAAGTAATGCTTTAACAAACTTTAAACATGTATTCATGGTCTCTGCATGTTAGGACTGTGAGGAACTTACTGTTGCACCTCTTCAATGGACATATGGAAAAATAACTGCCGCGCATAAGCGGCCGCTACTGCCGCTGCGTAACCATGCCACTGGTCGTTCTTATGCGAGTCGCAATAGTCGGAGATGCCTCGAATCACCATACATGGGAAATCGGCAAGGGCTCCCGCAGCCTCCATTTCAAAGCATAGTACCCCATGCTCCTGCGCCAAATCGTCTCTCTTCTTAGCATCCTTTATCACCAACTCCCCTGATGCTATTGTGCCTCGGTGTACAACAATAAACGAGTCGTCTTCCTCGTCTGTCGGTCGCTCGATACGCTGCCTCGGGTCACATCCACTATCTTCACACGGTACCCCTTGCTGCCCATGTGTATAGTTGGACGGGTAGAGATGGTCATTCACGGCGCCAGGGAACTTGAAGCGGCGAAGTCTTCGACGGCTAGTTTGGATTCGCCCCAGGTTCTCCCAAATTGGATCATCATCCACCCGCTGGCGCCGGACAGCCAATTCTCGTGCAGCGTTAAGAAGGGCCGTTGGCGGGGCTTCGAGGAAACCTTTGCGTTCAAAGTGACCCGCCTTCGCCTTCCCATGGTCGTACTGTATCGCCCCGGAGTGGACACCTGTCGGTTCACTAACGACCACATGTCCTAGACGGATCATTCCCCAGTCAGTCTTTGTCGGGACGCCGCCCCCAATCCCAACCAACAAGGCATATTTGAGATTTGGGAAAGTCATCCTCATTTGAGTGACGACAGTGGCTGCGGAGCAGTTCCCTGCCCGAGGAAGACCAGCAATGACCACGTGATGGTTGTTGATGCTGCCAAGGTTGTAAACGTTTGTGTCCCCGCTGGGTTGCGGAAGAGGTTGGTGCTCCTCATCTAGCATCTCCATTGCCGCGATCTGTTCCACCTCTAAAGGGCATATCCATCCCACCCGGTAGGAATCGCGGCTCAAACATTTCAGCGACATTTTTGGCAGCACAGTCGGCGCAGTTCTTCAAGAGAAATTCCAGGCAAAAAGACTTCGATATTGTAGCAGTCGTCGGGTGAAAACTACCCAAGGTAAATGAGGACCCCAGTAAGAAGACTCAAATGCGAGCGCAAAGTCTCGCAATTATCCACTAGCATCCGGGCCAAAGGGGCGCAGCACCTAAGCGCTCTCAAAGTGCGTTCTAGGGAACGTTCAGCCAACCAGGCACGAACACGAGTTATCAGACTGCGAGGATGACTAGCTGCATATCACCTCGATCATTAACGAATGACTCGTACTGTTCACGCCACAGGAGGCCCGATCATTCCTCTATTTATATGAAGCCTTAGCGGAGCAAGACATATTTTCAATCTTGTCCAGTAAAGAGAGGATCCAAGCTATTAGCGGGGGTTAATATAGGGAAGAACCCTAAAACTAGTAGCAGATATTAATGTCGTAAACACTATATTCCGAACAATAAATATGGTACAGTAGACAGAATAGACTACGTCGCTGGTCGCAAAAGCCCAGCGGGCTGCAGGAGGCAAGTGTTCATTGTGGGCTACCTGGGTGAAAGGTACATATGCAGTGGCGTACGTCAAAAAATTTCACGCACTGGTGCCTTGGCAGTGGGGCTTGAGAGAAGAAAAGCAGTTGTCAGGGAGGAAGCAGATTTCGCTAATGACTGTATTGATTTGATTTTGTAACCCTTCATCCAAACCTTTGAACTTGGATGAATTTGCCTGACATTAATCGAATTATCTAATTCCAAACTACCACCTGGGCAATGCAACCTTAGAATGGCGCCAAATGATCAAATTAACGAGACTAACCGATGAGAGGACCCTAGGAGCTCCAAAGCTTCTAAGGCCCCGTTGCTCGTAGCTTATTAATATCCTTCCGCAAGGCTTCGCCGGCCCTGTTGCAATGCAATGGGGATCCTCTCTAAGCACTTAGCAGCAGCAGCAAAGAACCCGAGAAAGACCTTGCTGGGCCGTAACACACGGCTCATATATTCGGGATGGAATTGCACACCGACAAAAAAGGGATGATCACGCAGCTCAACAATCTCGATACGCTTACCGGTAGTATCTTTGCCAACAACGGCAAGACCGGCCTTCTCAAGCTCCTCAACCATTTCCGGGTTAATTTCGTACTGGTTTCGATACCGCTCCTCAATCTGGGAAACCGTGGAGCCATACAGCGATCGCAGCTTTGACCACTCCGTACCCTCCTTGAAGATACATGAATGCTTGCCCAGATGCATGGTGTCACGGCCATTCTCTTGATTGCGTTCAGGCATGTGGATGATTACATGGTTCTTGGATTCTGGGTGGAGCTCTTGGCTCCCAGCATCCGGGATACCCATAACATGGCGGGCATATTCAACCACTATGAGCTGCATGCCAAGGCATATGCCCAGAAAAGGCTTCTCATTAATCCTTGCCCATGTGATTGCTTTGATCATCCCGCCGGTGGCGCGAGTACCGAAGCCGCCAGGCACGATAATACCCTTGACGCTACAGAGATCATGCCAGGCTTTGTGATACTTGACTGCGGAGTTCTGATAGGTCTCATCCTCGAGATGTGCGGCGTCGATTAATATAATTTTGACTTTCTTGTGGCAGTACATGGCTGCGTGTTCGATCGACTTGGACACACTGAGGTAGGCATCTTTATTAGAGGTGTATTTCCCCACAAGGGCGATTAAGATTGTGTCGGTGATAGTATCTTGACTTCGAACAAGATAGACCCAGTCATTCCATATGCGCTTGCCTTGTTCCATACGCTGGGTTGGGGTTCGATCAAGTGGAAGTTCGAGATACTCGCAGAGGATACCGAGCAGATTCTGTTTCTCGAGGAGAAGGGGTACATGATATGTAGTCGATCCGTCGTGTACGGAAATGACCTGCTCTGGTTCCATTGAGCACATATTGGCGATTTTCTGGACGGTGGCTGGATCCAATGGTACCTCGCAGCGGCAGGCAACCTTTAATACATAATTAGTTTAGAATGCGTGATACATATGTATAGACGAAGAGTGATAGCATACTAGAAGTGGACTCAACCCAGCGCTCCGAACGTCGGAAATGGATCTCTGAGTCGGCTTTGTCTTTTGCTCACCAGAAGCTCCCGGTCTAGCCTGATATTAGCTTACAGCGATATTTTCTCGCTTGAAAACAAGAAGAGCTTACGGCACGACAGGGACATAAGCTACGTGGATTTGAACGAGATTTTTTTTGCCGACTCTCTTTCGAAGCTGAGCGAGAGCGTAGATGAAGGGCGAACTCTCGATATCGCCCACAGTACCACCTAGCTCAATAATGCAGACATCGGGCTCAGCTTGGGACTCGTCCACGGGTATCTTCGCTGTCCGTTCGATGTATTCCTGGATGGAGTTGGTGACATGAGGCACCACCTGAACAGTTTTGCCTAAGTAATCACCGGCCCGTTCCCTAGAGATGATGTCTAGATAGATCTTCCCAGTCGTGATGTTATGACAACGCTTCAGAGTAGTTGAAAGGTAACGCTCGAAGTTGCCAAGGTCAAGATTTATCTCACCACCATCATCCGTAACATAGATCTCTCCATGGCTAGGTCAGTTAGTACGTGGACCTACAGAAGCTGCATTAAATCGGTGAGACTTGCTGAAGTGGGCCCATAGTTCCTGAATCGATGTTGATGTAGGGGTCTATCTTGATAGTGGTGACGATAAGCCCCTTGCTTTGCAGCAGTAGGCCTGCGCTCGAAGCGACGATGCCCTTCCCTGCTCCAGAGATGACACCTAGAAATATCAGTCTCTTACATCTTCAGGGCTCTTATACCTCAGGCTAAATGTGAAATATGGAGACTGCCCCGCTTTTCTCCACAGGCTAACGGCAGAGCCACTTTTCAAGGGTCTGGTAGATCACTGTTGAACTCACCTCCAGATACTACAATGTACTTCATTTTACCACTCTGAGGGTCAAAGCTGGATAGGGATATTGATGGAAAGTCAAGTAAGATAGATAGAGAGAGAAAGCTAATCCCGATTGGGAAGCATTTATGTATGACATGTGGGGTGGCAGATCAGACACCGCCTTTCTTTTTAGACAGTTTCTTATTTCAGCCTTTTCTTTGGTCATCCTTTTTAATTGTTATCAGAAGTGAGAGGACTGGAAAGTAGGAGGGATCAATTGGTGCATGTCTCTACAAAAGAAGAAATGTTGTCGCCTGAATCTTCAGGCGGGATTCGGATGCATTTTGTCACTTTGTACAGTACCTACACTTGCCAACATAATACCGTGCATTGTACAGCAGTATAGCTTCGTGGACCATCGGCTGAATTTCGATATTAATATCCTTTTAGCTATCTAAATAACGGATGCCCAAAGGGTTGACTTCAACTACGATGTGACTAGTTATAAACCAGTATCCTGACGTCCCGATCCGACCTTAGAAATATCCGACGTCATGACTTCTCTCAACCCTTAGTACTCAATACACACCAATTCATAATGGCGCAAGAATAAAGCAAATCGAGGTGCACAAGAAATTCAACAGCATTATCCAACGAAAATATCCAAAAGGTGCTTGTCGTGATTAGACCCTCGCCCCCCTACATGTCGCCATGTCAGTAGATCCAAGCTTTTATGACTCCTTTTAGACGTGATGATTCGTATGCGGTGTCCATTCAGGGTCCATGATGCCTCTGTGGAGAACACCTGTCAGGCCAGGTCCAACACGAACGAATCATACCTCATAGTCATGCCAATCACTCTGTCCAAGACCAGGGGGATCGCCTCTTCGAAAACCTTAGCCTTCTAAAGTATAGCTTTTTATCAATTCTTTTCGCTCCTCTGCAACTATTTGTTATACTTCTTCCTATATGTTCTAACTCGTCATGAAACCTAAACCAGTGTCAGGCGCCGGTCTCGCGTCATCTATTGCTCTGGCGACATGTTTAGCAGGCGCGTTGGCTAAAGGGAATAGTTCGACTGTTCCGCTCAGGCTGACAGTCGCAAGCGAGGGTGGCAACAAGTCAAGTCCGCTTCTATATGGAGTCATGTTCGAGGTGAGCAGAATACTAGCTCTATGCGCAAGTCACTATGGTACTAAGCTTTAATATTGTTAGGAAATGGACCACTCTGGTAAGGGACTTACATTTGCTGCCCAGATGATTGCGAGCATGACTGACTATTTCAAGGCGATGGTGGGATTCACGGACAATTGCTACAGAACAATGGATTTCAAGGAACTAGTCTTGGTCTGACTGCCTACGCCCCGGTGGGAGATGTGACAATCTTCCAGGATAATTCAAAACCTGTCAGCAAAGCAATTACATCCTCGCTGAATGTCGAAGTACCAGATGGGGTAAAAGACTATGTTGGCTTTGCCAATACAGGGTACAACGGAATTCCAGTCACGGGTGCCACATACAACTGTTCATTCTGGATGATGGGTAACTACTCGGGAACCATCAACTTGCAGCTTGTTGGGTCGCATAGTGGTTCGATACATGCCGATCACAACCTGACTGTCAACAGTACGGATTCAAAATTCACGGAATTCAAAACCAGGTTCGACACTACTTATACACCAAAAGGGGACAATGAGTGGCATTTGACATTCGATGGATCGAAAGTTGCTGGTAGCTCGTTGAACTTTGGCTTAATCCAACTGTTTCCTCCCACTTTTAAAGGAAGAGAAAATGGGCTACGAGATCATATTGCAATGTTTCTGGACGAGGTCAACCCAGCATTTCTCCGTTTCCCGGGTGGGAACAACCTCGAAGGGTTGGAAGTTGATTCTCGCTGGAAGTGGAACACCACGATTGGGCCAGTGGTCGACCGCCCAGGAAGAGAAAGTGACTGGTTTTACCCCAATACAGATGCACTCGGCCTGGATGAGTATCTGTGGTGGTGTGAAGACATGAACATGGCACCACTGCTGGCTGTGTGGTCAGGCAAGTCCTATGGGGACATCCTCTCCGGGCCAGACCTCGAACCTTTCGTCGAAGA